TTTTATCATTTACTTCTATATCTTAGTTTTTTTTATAAAAAATTTTTTTTTGTTTTTTGCTTTTTTATAAAAAGATGTTATCAGATTGATAATGTCCTATTGTAAGGCAGCAATCAAATAAGCAATTTATCTTTACCTAGAATAATGCAGCAGGTTGCACTTAGGTATCATCTGGATGACTGAGTAATGCTAGACTTGTATATCAAGAACTTTTATATAATTTGTATAGTTTCAAAAATCCTAATAAAGTACTAATATGATTACTAAAATTAAAAAAAAATTTTTTAAGATTTATAATAATAAAAAATTTTAATTATAAGAAATGTTATTATATTATATCTATTAATAAATTTATAAGAATTAAAACAACAGACAAGATAAACTATTTAGTACATATATATAATGAGTATTATAATAAAGAAGTTAAATTTATAAATGCTAAAAAAAATAGTTAGAATTTAAAAAAATATTGTTTAAAAATATTATTTAAAAAATACTGCTCAAGAAAGTGCTGCTTAAGAAATACTATTTAAAAAAATGCTATTTAAAAAAATACTGTCTAAGAAAATGCTATCCAAAAAGATACTAATTAAAAAAAAACAAAAAATAGCTTAGAGCTAATTGAGCCAACAAATTTATACTTTTTTATTTTCAAAACTAATCCTAAATTCTAGCCTAATAATAAAAAAAAACAAAAAAAAAAACTTTTAAAATATTTAAAATTTTAAGCATTAGTCATTTTTAGCTTTAGCTATAACAAAAGTTATAATTCAGAAAATGCATTACTATTTTATATATAATGTGCTATAAATATTTTGATATATAATAATCCAATAAAAGATATTATTAAAAAATCAATTAAATTAATTAAAAATATAAATAGATTTTTAAAAATATATATAATTTGTGTAATATTCATACAATTTAATTAATAAGATTAAAATATAAAAAAATTTTTAAGCATATTTATATTTTTATTCTAATAGTTAATTATTTTAATTAAAGACATGTTCTAAAATTTTTCAAACCTTATATCTCTATTTATATATATTATATATATATAATTTTTTGCAATTAACAATTACCTCTACCTTTTTTTAATAGGTTCATAGGGCAGATGATGAGTTAAACACAATAGTTTATATATTAACATTTATTTATATATTATAATTTTAATAAATATGTAAATAACCAATCAGATGATTTGTTAATTAAAAAAGACCCTAAAAAAATGTTCCACATATATGTAAAAAAGGTCCAAAAACAAAATCTGCCGATATTATTTATCTATTAACCTTTGATTAATTATACGTAATAACTAGTCTATTAGTTAACTAATTGATTATTCGATTATCTAGTTGATTACGTAGTCAATTAGTCTACTAGGCGATTAGTTGATTAGTTAATTAGTCGATTAGTTGATTAGTTAATTAGTCGATTAGTTGATTAGTCGACTAATCGATCAGCCAACAAATCAATCGACCGATTATAAAAAAAAATTTAGTCGATTAGTCGACTACGTAATAACTTTATGATTCCTATCCTTAGTTAGAAAGTTGGCAACTAATCGATTTTTCAACTAACGCTAACGATTTTGGAACACTAATGACGATAAAAATTAAATCATATAAAAATTACAAATTAATAAATTATTAATTAATAACTGTTACGTATAAAGATTTCAATAACAAACTTTTCTTATTTTATTACTTGCTCAATTAATAGTAACGGTAACATTTATTACTTATAAGTTTAAGTGGTACAAATAGGACTTATACAGGAATACCCACAGAATCATGGTCTGCAGAGTAGGAATTAACAAATTGTGCTTAAAATCACTAATAAAGTCATGAAATAAGAATGTCTATAATTTTGCTATAGACGTAATCGACTGGTATTACTAATACCAGACTAGCTCTGATGACTTCAGATACGTATCTCACCGAGCATTCCATCACACGGAATGACAATTACTATCTAAATCCTACTGATAATCATAGGACTGGATGAAACCCAGGTTGTAAATTAGTAAAACGTAGACCACGTTAAATTGAAATCCGCGTTTAGCTACGTGTTTTATTATGTAAAAACGGATTTCACCCTCATATGATTTACATGGCGGACTTTACTAATTCACAACGCGGTTTCACCCCCTGTCGTGTAATAATTACTAATGTTAATCATCAGTGGACTTTGAATATTATTCACCACTTTGTGTGTGATGTGGATGAGATTGTCAATGCATCCGATGAATTCTAACCCATAATTGAACACAAAAATTATTAGTTACATCTCTCGAAATTACTATATACTTAATGTTGATGTATGTAAGATGATCCAGTTTCAGGAACTTAATTTTAAATCAGTGGCCAATTTCCAGACATTTACGTCGATTAAAACGTGATTCATTTACCAATCAAATCAGTCAATACGCCAGTAAAAAAAATGTACAGTTACCGAAACTTTGCTCTTCATATATGGGTAATTAGTTTTGATTCCGGACCAATTTTATATATGACGTAATACCATTTTTGTCTGGATTCAAAAATAATTACCCATATATTACAATGAATATAGCAATAATTCTATGTATTATATTCCACTCATCACAACCTAAACTAGAAAAGCGTTGGTTATATCGCTTAGTTCATATGATTATTCATATGTATTTATCGATATTCATACCACATTTATGTAGTAATTGAACTAAATACACAGGATATGCGGTAAATATTAAGCTTAATATTGTTATTAAAGATAGCGCGTTAAAAGAAATAAAATTTACATATAACATTCTAATTATCGAATATTCCCTAAGCCTAATGCAATATATAGTAATAAATAGTCAAGAATTTGCCTGATAAGTGATGTTCTTCAAAATGTTAGTTGTTTTGTGTGGTGAATATTAAAAGCTATAAGCAGCTTTTATGATGAAACATTAAATTCTTTAAGGACAGTCCGCAGTTAAAGGGTAGCGGAGTTTTACCATAACTTTCATATAGTAATGGAATGCTGACAATAAAAAAAAATCACAGTAAAAAAGAAAAAAATCTTAATATCTTATGATTTATACAATCGATTTTAATGATTTTATTATCATTAGAATCGTAATACCATGTCCTACAATTTTAATTAAAGATTCCAAAAATGTTAACTCCTTAAATTACACCATAAATAAGTTATCGGCAATTGATTTATGTTAGCCAATTATAATGGACATATTGACACCATTGCTCCTTTATGATTTATTCGTTGTAGTTACACCAAATCATTGATTTTTTCGATATCGATTTGATGACGTTTACTTGACTGCACTTAAAACTTGAAGTTTTGACCAGAGCACAAAATCTATTGTAAAATTTCGGAGATTTCCGTTTCGTCATGACAATTTCCGCCTTGACTTTTCATCAGTCGGAAATTTTCCGAATATGATATCATATATACGTATGTATATAAATATCAATAAATATTACAATATCGACTGAGTTTTCTAAGTTCCGGTTAAACATCTTCCGGCATTCGGAAATTTTGTGCCCTGGTTTTGACCAGTAAGAAAATAAAATTAAATTACTTACCGAAAACATATTGGTTTTCCGAAATATTTACGGCAATCCATTGTGTTGAGAGTACCCCCGAAATCCAAAGCATATTATTATAAAAAAAATCAAGAATTGCGCGTTTTACTAACCAACATCAATACATTTGTTTCACATTGTTATTTTTACAATTTAAAACTCTTACTTTAATCTGAACACTCGAGTATATTCTAGAGTTTGTATTGGTTGAGAAAATTTATACGGTATAGATATTATTAAATTACCCGGTCATACTGCACTAAACGAAGTTTAAAATCATCTAATACACATAATGCAGAAAACAACGATCTTTACAAAAAATAGTAATAATTTTTTGATACGTATAATATCAATGACGATTTCTCACTTACTATAATTAGAAAAAACATCTTCAAACACATCTTGAAATTTAAATTTAACAGTTCAAGCGCTTGCAACACCACGATCTCCAGAAATCAAAAAACCCTATCTTTGATAACTATATTCAGTACGCTAAAGAAGTAAAAGAACCAATCGAATGCGTACCTTTCTTTTTATTTTGAAGACATCTACCCTAAATTGACAAAAAGAAATTACACGAGAATGTTACTCTGATAGAAATAAAGAATAGTAATTAATGAACCAAAGATGGACATCGTTTTTGATTGTTTCATTTTTTTTTAATTTTTTTTTATTGCACCACAAAATTGCAAATAAGGTAGTTACATCGAAGAGAAGCTTACTTGTAAAGCACGTTATTCCGACTACGAAACTTATTAATTTTATTCAGATTTGTTTCACGGATGGATACTCCTTGCTTCGTAAATTCCTATTTTTCAGGATTACAAGTTTCGGAATAAACGTTCCCGACAGGAGGAAACGTGTCCGATCCAAACTGTGAAGGATTATATTTGTAACATTGGTGGTTAAGTGACCCACTATTGTGAAATGATTTTTTTTTTATGTGTTGCATACCAGGTGTGGGATTAAAGTTGGAGCAGGTACGTTACCTCCTGTTACGTTTCCCCTCTATACGATTATCAGTCACTCTAAGTTTTAAACAATGTTTAAACGATCAACAGTTTCATTTCATATTAGCGATATTTGTAATCCAGCAGTTTGTTCTTTTGTTTTTTTTTTGTGATCCTTAATTTATAAAGTCAATTTTTTATTATATGCCATAAAATGTCTATCAAACATTAATTTAAATTTTTTTTTGTTTTTTTTTTTTTATTTTCTATTCTATCAAAAAATTAAAGTTGAAGGATTTCTATTATATTAATCTATTATGTACTACGTAAAAAAAAAAAAATAATAAAATAATAATAACGAATCTATAATAAACTTTCTTAACGTTTACACCATAGATAAAACATAAACATAACAAAATATCAAATATTTATATACATTTTTTTTTTTTTTTGATGGATTTATATAGTCATAAATTTACAAGTAAGAAGACATAGGAGAACCATTTCCGATAGAATTACCAAAATTAACGATAATGGGATTTGCACCAAGATTACGATCGACAACTGAATTGGTACTAAAGTTATTGCATGCAGTAGAGTTAAGATTGAAAAAGTAATCTGCATTAATATTCGATAAACTAAGACTAATGAAATTATCTATTTGTGAATGTGTTAATGCATTATCAAGATGTGAAAATGAAA